ATACCTTTTTAGTGGATAACTTTTATGTTGGTGGTGACGGTAAGAATTTATGTATCTTGCTGCTTCTTTCATTTATTCAAAACCTATTTTTTTCTCTTAATTCCTTCTTTTCCTTCACTACTATAGTTTAAAAAGATGTCTGCACTTTTCTATCTACTTCCTTCTTCCTCTGAAATCAGGGTTTTCCAAGATTGTCACCGTGGACACACATACTTTCAAGTCCCTCCTTCCTTCCTCCCTCCCTCCCTCTCTGCCTGTTTCCCTCTCACCCTCCCTCCCTCCAGTGTCTCCTTCTATCAACTAGACTGTAGTACACTGGTGTGATCACAGCTTGCTGCAGCCTCAAACTCCTGGGTTCAAGTGATTTTACTGACATAGCCTTCTAAGTATCTAGGACTATAAACTAATTTAATTTTCTTTTTTTGGTAAAGACATGGTCTGGCTACATTGCCCAGGCTGGTCTTAAACTCTTGGCCTCAAGAAATCCTCCTGCCTTGGCTTCCCAAAGTCTGGGAATATTCGTATGAGCCACCATACCTGGCCTATGTTTTATAAAATATTTTATAATAAATATTTCTAAATTTTATAATAAAAGTTTAATCAAATAGGTTTTGCAGTTTCATCAAGACACAGATTATCACTGCAACATTGTGAATATGGTAAATAAAAGAATCCAGCTGACAAATGTAAAATAAATTTGAAGCTTTTAAAATAACTACACATAAAGAATATAGAGCTTTAGAATCATATCAACCATGAAAGAAGTTTAAAGTTAAAGATCAAAGACTTTTTTTACTGGCTCGTTTCTATCTGATGTTTTAATCAATAACTTGGGCAAAGATTTAAGAAGCATTTGTTTCAGATTTTTAAATGAGAAAAACTTGGAAAAGGTATCAATAGTTGGGATTGCAAAAATAACATTCAAAAGGAATCTTAAGAGAATGTAAAAATGGATTAAAACTCACCAAACTAATTTAGCACAAGACATTTAGATAAAAGAAAAAAAATCAATGCATGAATTTAAAATGTGATGAACTTGGCTATTAGAAATTCATGTGAAAGAGATCTAATGTTTCTAGTTAACTGTGAAAATAATAAAAATCAACCTTATGATACATGTATAGAAAAAGGCTAATGCAGTATCTGGTTTTGGTCCCAGGGCACTGCAGGCTGAGCATATATGTCCACTTTGGTATGGATTTTGCTAGATACCTAAAGATTATGAAGCCAGTCCATTAAAAAAATAATTGCTGTGATTCACTAAGTTTAGTTCAGTGTGGTTTCTGAGAAGGAAGAGATTAATTAAAAGCTGGCTCCAGAGGGTGGGCCTAGGATTAATGGTTTGAGATGGTTAGGATAATTGATCCATGCTTAGTGTAAGCAGACAGTGCTAAATATTATATTAACTCAAACATGATAAGCACTTTACTGAAAATTCCATAAGCCCCCATCACTATAGCTCATTCAGCAATGGCTGCTAATAATTATGTAGTGATTTATCTGCTTTATGTAGGATGTTGCATAGATGACTTCTCAAACCTTTTCAACTTTAAAATTATTGAGGTCTATGATACATAAAACAGGGAATAAAGTAAACATGTTTGGAAGTCTATATATAACCACAGAAATGAAATTGGTAAGGAATTGCTACCCTCCTCTTTCCTCTCCACTTGCATAGGCAGTTATGATCATATTAATTAGACATTGAAAAAGTCACAATCAGTGGAAGAACAATTTTCAGTTCAACTTCACACACCTGCAGAGGCCATATTGGGATAAAATGCCAGCCTTCTTTCCAGAAGCACACATCAGAACTCTTAGGTGAGACTTCATTTGACAGCATAGACCTGGTTAAAGGAGAGATGCCATGTTTGGATATTATAAATTACCTGTAGAAGGGATTTTCAGAGTGCTTTTTTGAAACAGAAAGAGTCTCCTGAAATTTTATAAATTACCAACACAGATAACTAGATTTATACAAATAAAGTTGTCAAGGGCTTATTGCTTAGTTGGAACTTTTAGTAAATAGAGGGAAATTGAAAATGTTATGCAATTGCCTGTCAAAAACTGAAGGACTGAATCATCTGAAATTTACCCTACTTTTAAGCAATAAATTACCCTGCTATATATTGATTCATGGATGTTGCCAGAGACACATGCCCGAGTTAGAGACAAAGGCCAGTTAATTGCGGTACTCACAGTAGTCAGACAACCAGTCTTTTCCTGCATAAGAACCCCAACCTCATTTCCCCAAGGTGATGTGAAGAGAGTCAGATGACACGAAGAGAGTCAGGTGACACTTGTACATGTGATAAAGTGTATCACAGAAGAGGAAACCTGAACTTGGAAAACCTGAATCCTTTACGTTTGGGTGTAAGTAAACTTGCCCTTTTCTCTGGTGGAAGGAACTATTTCTGTCTTCCAAGGATTGTTCACTCTAAAAGAAAAGCAGTTGGTAGCTCCCTGTGATACTTTCAGCAACATTGAGAGAACTATGGGAATTGCCTCTCAACATTGGGATTTCATGGATGATCAAGAGTTACCCTGGATGACAAAGAAAGGGGAAAAAAAGACCCTGACCAAACAAAGATCTATCCTTCATCTCATTCAGTAAGGATTGTTGCTAATTTCTAGGAAGAAGGAATTAGCCATTACTACCAGAATCATGTCATATATTTGTCTACCTCAATCCAATTTCACTCCTATCTCTTTCTTATTTCCATATACCCATATGCTCTAATAAAGCCATCCTATTGTGGATATTAAGGTATTTTTATTTAGTTCTTTTGTCTCCTTTCAATTCCAAAGTTCAGATCTTCTTCATGTATTGTTATGGGTCACTGTCTCAACAAGCTGGACCTCAGGTGCCAGGTGTTAACAAGATCTCATGCCAAGAATGAGGAGAATCGGTAAGAACACTGTGATTTTTAAACTTTATTGAGAGGATCACTTAAAAAGTGATGTCCATATAGAGATATCAGTTTATCTATAGATTGATTGATTGATATGAGATACATGAACAGTTACAGGATTCTGGGTACCATATCACAGAACCCTATTTGCGTAGGTGTAGAGTAGGTCCCATAAACTGGCTTTTAAGATAAGCAACCTGGGTGATTTTCACATAGTTATACTGGAACAATTTGAGAACAAGTGCTACAGGCAGTGTCACTTAGCAAATCTAGGTAGGCTGCATATTTCAAAAGCATATTGAAGTGGCAAGATGCTATATGAGTGAAAGGACGGGGTGCATTATTACTGGAAAGTACTTTTCCAATATTATAAGGCTATGTGAGTGTATTGCTATGTGCGTGTTACGCTGAGTACACTAGAAACGGAATAACAGAGAGAAGTAAAAGTGGGAAGAGGATCCAGAAGTCTTCCAATTTAGAAGAGATAATTGAGTTCTTATTCTTTGGTGGTGATGATAGGGAGGGGTTTGTGGTCATGTTCACCATAATTAGTGCAGAATTATTGGCATAACATAAGTCATTTTGACATAGGTAACATTTTCATTCCATATCTGAAATTGCCTTTGGAGATTTAGGAGAGAATTTTAGTTTCTTTTCCCCAAGCCTTACTTTGCAAAATTGCTGACAAGTTTATACAAATTGTGATCAGGCTGTAGTACAACTCTGTCCTTCATTCTGGAACCAGGGATCAGACTAAAGTGCTGGCTGATATCACTTCCATTCTACCTGAAGAACCCAGAGCTCTTTGGTGGAGAGTTCTTTGTTACTGACAATTTAACATGAGATGTCCTGGTTCCAGGCATAGGGTGCTAATCATTAGCAAAAACATCAATAACACATTGTAGGCAGGGAGATCAGAGCCCCTGGGACCCTTCTCATACTTAGCTGGAAAGGAAGAAAACATGGTCAGCAAGGTGGTTTTCCCAGGGTGAGGCTTAGCCACTGCACTCCAGATGTGCTGACCCCTGCGATTTCCCCACATGTGGAAAACTCAACTTGTGGTAGAGGGGAACTGTGTTCACTTTCTCCCCTGGTAATTTGTGGTAGAGGGGGGCTGCATTTATTCTCTACCCTTGTAGTCACTGTTTCCAATGTCAGGTTCCCATGTCCACAAGTGGGTATTGCCCAGGTGCCTAAATCCATATATTCTAAGGAGACAAGCAAAATAAACAGGAGCTTATCTCCAGGGCACCAGACCCACCTCCCCACAGCCTTCCTCTCTACTATAGTGTCAAGAAATAAGTTTCCCAACCCCAAATAATGATTAGCGCCCCTGTTATTGGACAATGAGTGTCCAGCCGCCTGTCACTGTCAGCCAGTATGCAGAGACAGGGACAGGTCCACCTGATTTTATTTGTCAAAAGGCCAGCAACTCTGGAGAAGAGTAAGAGTAGTCTCTCCAAGACTGTTCCATTCCTCCATTTCCAAAATCACAGATTTATACATAAAAGTTAAAAACAAGAACCATACTAACCTTTATCTTAAACAAATATAACTTTTATAGCAATTTCAGATATGAAATGTAAACATTACCTATGTCAGAATGACTTACGTTATGTCAGTAACCCTGCACTAATTACGGTGAGCAAACCAGACTAACATTTAACTAAACAATAGTTGTTAACACTTATCTTAGACAACAGTAATGGTCATAACCCATGACCCATAATAAACACTAATTGACATAACCCCTAACCCAAAGCAACATTTATGATTCAGAAGTTAATCCCCAAAATCGATTGCCCAAATTACTGAAGTTATACACTTTTAGGTTAAAAGCAGATTTATAAAACAATGACCTAAACTGGGCCAGAGCAGCTGTGTGGTTGCAGCCCTGGCCTGGCTGACTCCATCTTGTTCCCGTTATGTGCACTCTCACCCCTTCCCTGCAGAAAGGGTTCTCCTTCTCATCCCCAATTGAAGAGAATAATCATCTACCTTTCCTCATAAGCAGTGCTGGGATATTGATACAGTCTGCATCTGCTCTGTAGTAGGAAATGAAACTGGAGTGAACCATTTATTGCAGTTTTTCCTTGCAGACACTTTATATTTGAATGTAAATTAATTAGGAAAATGGGTTTCTGATTTTACACAAAGAGGAGCAATTTTGCTGAATGCATAGGGAGATACTTTTTTGTTTGTTTTTTGTTTCGGGAGATACTTTTAAAAATTATTATTTTATTTACATTTGATTCTCCTCCCCCCCAACATTTTAGTATAAAAAGGTTTTAGCAACTAGATGCAGTGACATGCACCTGTAATCCCAGCTACTTGGGAGGTTGAAGTGGAGGATGGCTTGAGCCCAGGATTTTGAGACCAGCCTGCACAACATCATGAGAACTTGTCTCAAAAATACTTTCCAAGGCTTGACACCTGTAGCTCAGCAGCTAGGGTGCCAGCCACATACACCAGGGCTGGCAGGTTTGAACCCAGCTTGGGCCTGCCAAACAACAGTGACAACTGCAACCAAAAATAGCCAGGCATTGTGGCAGGGCCTGTAGTCCCAGCTACTTGGGAGGCTGAGGCAAAAGAATCACTTAGGCCCAACAATTGAAGGTTGCTGAGAGCTGTGATGCTGCAGCACTCTACTGAGGGCAACAAAGTGAGACCCTGTCTCAAAAAAAAAAAAAAAAAAAACTTTCCAACACAGAGAAATACAGAAGCGTTCAGTGAATACATATATCCACCACACAGATTCCATAATTGACTTTATAATATTTGGTTTCTCATATAACTATTTATCTATCTTATTGTTTATCTATTAATACATCTACATTAATTCATGCATTTTAACATATGTTGTGTACTATAAATACAGAGCTATATTTAATCAAATATACAAAAGGAAAATAAAAGAAAGATATTGAAGATGCTCAGGGAAGTTCAAAACATGACCCTAAAGTATGACTTGTTGGTAAAGAGGGTATTTTGAATTAAAGACCCTTATAGATCAACAGGCTTTGAAAAGGATTTTCCTCTATTTTCATAAAACCCAGATGGACCCTTCAAAAAGAACAATTGCCTTTTCTTCCTCTCTTTTATCCAGAATATAACCAGACCTGGACCAACCCATTTTCAAGATAATATCTGTCTTTCAGGCTAACCTAATTTCCAAAGTGAAATATTTACAAGTCAGTCTGTCTCCTTTCATATACCCATTCTCCCAAATATCAATAAGTCCTCCCTAGTAACCACTACTGCCCCTCAAAAGAATCATCTGTGTTCCTCATTTCCCTGGGCTCCATAGTGGAATGCGTTTCTGAACTCCATCGGTATGTTGGGTAATCAATCACTCTGTAATTCTTCCCTTGTGCGCAGCAAATAAGTTGATGTCTTTCTCTTATTAATCTGCTTATTGTGAATTGAGCTTTCAGTGAACATTCTGGGGGCAAAGAAGTTTTCCTTCTCCCTCACAATACTCAGCATCAGAAATTATTAAGGAAGCAGGTGCTTAAACCATAATATGATACCGTTCTTTTCCTCTTAGAATGGGTTTACATAAACCTAACAATGTGAAGTGCTGTGGGGCAGTGGAGCAGCTGGAATTCTCACACATTCAACAAGAATGTGGGTATGCAAAAGGGAACACAGACTATGAAAAACTGGCAGTGTCATAAATTTAATCAAGCTGCATTTGTTACTTATCAGTCTTAATCCTAATTCCAAGGAAAAAAGACAACGTCTGTGCTCATAAAATCCCATATGTAAAAGTTGAAAGTAGTGTAGGGGCCAAGGGTTAGTGCTCCCTTTATCCTTGGGAAATTTATGGGAATGTTAACTCACAAAAGGCAAATTAATTGGAGAAAAGGCATACGAACTTTATTAACAGGTGCATGGGGGGAACCACAGAATGATTGTCTACCCACCTGCATAGGGTGTAGAACCTTATTGGCCATCCTGAGGTTACAGAAAGAATTCAAGCTCAGACTACATGAGTCACTGTGAAAGTTTCGAGACAGACTGTGTTATGGCCCATTGTTTCACTTCCAAGGAACATAGTTGACAGTGTCCTTTCTGATTTACCAGGGCAAGTTTCAACTTGCTAGGCTTATCAGTGTTCTGGGAGGGCTTCGTTTGTTTCTATCTTTGCAGATTCTTGAGTTTTGTATGTCTCAAAACTTTTGTAATGAGCAATGTATGACTAAAAGCAGGGTATGGGGTAAATCAGGTTTTAGTGGCAGGACAGTTGTGGGAGGGAGAGAAGGAGGAGTCTTGGCTTGCAAAGGTGATGTGGTTATGTAGGTGAAACCTCACAGGTAGTATCTCTCAGAGAAAACAGATGGCAAATGTCTTTCAGATCTTTAAAAGGCATCAGCCTCTCAGTTAATCTTCCCTAGATCCTAACAAGGAAAGGCCCGGCTACATCAATGCAGATTTTCTACAGAAAAAAATTTCCTCCACAAAAGATGGCTTTACAGGGCTACTTCAGTTTTCTAGCTCTCTAAAAGCTACCTCAAAATGTCAAAGAAATGTATTTGGGGATAAAATATTTTGATTTCTTTCAGCAGAAAGAAGAGAATGCAGAAAGATTTCTCTTATCCCCTACAGCAGCTTTATTCATAATTGCCCCAAACTGGAAATAACCCAATTATCTATCAGCCTGTGAATGGGTAAAGAAAGTGTGATACAGTCATGTAATATAATATTACAATAGATCATTACTCCGCAATCTCAAGTGAATTATTCTAAATGGAAGGAGTCAGACACAAAAGTTACATACTGTGTGATTGCAGGTGTACAACATTCTTACAAAAGCAGAATTAAAGGGATAGGAAAAACATTAGTGATTTTCTAGGACTAGGAGTATGCAACGAGATTGATTTAAAACAGCTTGGGGGCGTTCAGTTGGGATGATGAAAACATCCTTATATGTTGAATGTGGTGGGCATCATGAAAGCACAAGCCCATGCAGTGAGAATAAGATGGAGTCTGTCAGACAAGGGCTAAGACCACCCAGTTGGTCTGGCCAGTTTAGGTCCTAGCTGACCTTCACCTCATGTCTTTCAATCTTATTGTTTTGTAAATATGGCTATAACCTAAAAGTATTTATCTTGAGTGGTTTAGGGCAATTGATTTAGGAGATTAACTTCTGAATCAGAAATGTGGTTTTGGGTCATAGGTTATGTCAATTAATATTTATTATGGGTCATGGGTTATTACCATTTGATAGAATCAGATGCACCTGCCCAAAGAGACCCACCCTGCCCCGACAGGGTCAGGTTCATGACTCAACCAGGAAGGGTCAGACTCATGTGCCTCCCAGGAAATAGGAATTGCTCCTCTCCCTGACCCTTTAAATCCCCATCCGCCATAACCCACGTGTGGAATTCCTTTCCTGATTTCACCCTACCTACATCCAGGTGGAAATAAAGACCACCTGATTTCTACAGAATGGGGATTCCATTTTCCTTTGTTGTATGCCTTCAAATAATCTTTCTTCCTTGGGTCCAGAACTGTTCACCATTATCATTGTTTAAGATAAGTGTTAATAACTGCTATTTAAGACAAAGGTTAGTACAGCTCTTGTTTTTAAATTTTATGTATAAATCTATGATTTATATGGAAGAAATGGAAGAACAGAACCGTCTTGGAGAGGCTACTCTCCCTGTTCTCTGAAGTTGCTGGCCTTGTGACAAAGGCCAGTCTGGTGGACCCTTCCCCGTCTCTGCATACTGGCTGACAGTGACAGGCGGCCGGACCCTCTTTATCTGGTAACAGTGACTCAACGATGTACTTGTAAAAATTCATAGAATTGTATACCTAAAAAGGGAATTTTTTGATATCCACAAATTATGCATCACTGAGTCTGATTTACAAAATAAGGGAAAATGGAGACAACAATTGCACTGGCAAATCTGTTTGCTGGCACTGGAATCTGTTGCAGCTCAGAAGTTTGGATGGTAAATTAAAGTGAATTTTGGCCATTTTCAGCTCTCAGCTCATCACGGGCTACCCATCCCAGCCCTAGGGGTCTGTGGCAGGCTTTTGTGCACATGGTCCTGAAGCAACTTGCATGCAGCTTTCAGGAGTCAT